TTTCTCTCCTTTTCTGGCCTTTTCTTTTCTGTGATTGTTTTGTTTTGTTTTCTGTAAATGGGAACATGTGATATTTGCCCTTCTGCTTCTGACTTCACCAAACTTGATATATTCCAGTTCCGTCCAAGTTGCAGCATATTGCATAATTACATCATTCATTGCAATTGGACAGTATTCTGTTATGTGTGTATGTGTATAACATATATGTATGTGTATATAATATGCATGTATGTGTATTGTTACTGGAAACTCAGGTTGATTCAATATTCTAGCTATTGTAATAGGTCCTGAAGTAAAAAAGTGTGTATATAGTGTATGTCTTCTCATGAATGTCTTAGTTTCTTGTATGAAGATAGTAGGAAGTGAAATTTCTGGGCCATATAAAAGTTCTGTTACTAATTTTTATAGACAACTTCATATTTCTTTCCACACAGTCTGAAAAATACTTTTCCATCAATCCTGGATGAAAGTTCTCTTTTCACCACTTTTTCTACCACAGTACCTCCAACACAGGTTGTTTCTGTCTTTTTTATATGACATTTTTACTTGTAAGAGATATTTCAATGTTATCTTCATTTGGATTTCTTTTACTAACAAACAAATGAGTATAAATATTTTTCATATACTTTGCTGACTAGCTGGCTCTCTGTTTTCTTCAGAAAGGTGTCTGTTCATTTCCTCAGCCCATTTTTAAAATGAATCACGTAAATTCAATATAGAGTTATAATGTTATTAATGATTGAGTATTGGGCATACAATGTTCCAATACTGGTCCCTTCACCGGTTTCCATTTTCCTCCGTCAGTGTCGCTAGTTTTCTTTATGCCCCCCAGCCTGCCTCTGTAGCATGTATTTTTAACTTTTCAGCACTCCATCTTCCCTTAGAGTGACCACTTCTGTCCACCATAGGCGTAGAGTTCTCTTGCATGATCTAATCGCCCACTCTCAGTAGCAAATTTCCTACTTGAAAATCAGTACTCATGCTCCTTATTTCTATTTCCTTTGGGCCTTTATGATTCCCCAGCTATGTCTCTCTAACTAACTTTACTCAGCATGTATGATACTTTCCATGTCCATCCATGTAGCAGCAAATTTTATGACTTCATATTTTCTTATGTCCTAGTATTATTCCATTGTGTATACGTACCTAAGTTTCTTTATCCAGTCATCTCTTTTTGGGCATGTGGGTTGTTTCCGAATTTTGGTTAATGTGAGCAGTGTGCAATAAACATAATAATTTCAGATGTCTTTTCTGCATTGTGTTTTAGGCCATTGTGGTATATATAGTCCAAGTAGTGGAATTGCTAGGTCAACTTCTAGTTTTTTGAGTAGTATCCATAATGTTAACCAAAAAAGGATGAACAAGTCAATATTTCCACCAGCAGTGAATGTGAGTCTCTTCCCACTACCACCTACACACATCTATGCTAACACTAGTTGTTGTTCTTTCTGATGTATGCAAGTCTTTCTAGTCTTTCTGATGTGAGATAATATCTCATTGCCATTTTCATGATGTGAGGTGGTGTCTCATTGTCAGTTTGATTAGCAGATCTCTGATGATTATTGATGTAGAGCATTTTTTCATATTCGTTTTGGCCGTTTGTATGTGTTCTGTGAGGAAGTTTCTGTTCATCTCTTCTTCCATTTTATGATGGGGCTAAATGTTTTACTTGTGAACTTCCACCAGTGCTTTAAACATCTTGGATATTAACCCCTTATAAGATAAATTGTGGGCAAAAATAGTTCATCCAGTCTGTGTGGTGTCTTTCTAATCTGGTCATCATTTTCTGTGAAGTGCAAATTTTTTTTTCAATTTAATGTAGTCCCATTCATTTATCTTTGCTTTCTCTAACATGACCAAATAGGGCTGCATCCTTAAAATTGTCTCAGGTTTAATATCATGGCAAATTCTGCCTGTGTTATTTTTCACTATGTAACTTGTGGATTCAGATCTGATATCAAGGTCTTTAATACATTTTTATTGACTCTTTTGATAATGTCAGAAAGGAGTTTGAGTCCTTCCTTCCTTCCTTCCTTCCTTCCTTCCTTCCTTCCTTCCTCCCTCCCTCCCTCCCTCCCTCCCAACTTCCCTCCCTCCCTCCCTTCTTCCCCAGTTTTCTCAGAATCACTTTTTGAGGAGGCTTTTCTTGCTCCACTTCAATCTTTTTTGCTCCTTCATTGAAGATTAACTGACCTGAGGATCTCTCTTTGGATATTCAATTCTGTTTCACAGGTCTGAGAGTTACTTTTACATTATCAATGCCATTTTAGTCAGTACAGCTTTGTTATAACTACAAAAATGTCATTTGCCCAGTGTTGCCAATAAGCAAGATTAGGAGAAGTCAGCAGTATAGAACATGCTATTGACTGTAATCTGTTTATACCATATAGTCTGTTGTCTCCAAGTCTCATGCTAAAACTATAATCATATAGATTTGGTGTGCGGGGAATTTGGCGCAAATGCCCCAGATAATGTTAAGCACCTCACAAATATTTCCTCTCACAGTTTGTTTTCCCTCTTGGGCTTTCTTTGTTAACATATGTGCCTCTCTTAGTCGCTTTGGATGATATACTTTCAGCTCAGTTGCACATGCTATGTTCCTTCAGCTTTCAGGTTAACATCTGGTTAAATTGGCCCAATTTTTGTACAGTTATGCTCTAATTACTTATTTTTATAAATAAACAAAGTTTCTATCTATTTGTCCATCTTGTCCATCTTAGTTCTGTGTTCTCTCTTATGCAGATATTTGTATAAATAATAGCATTTCTCATAGTCTAAATGCATGACTTCATTACATTTTATAAGCACCCTGTTTACTGAGCTAAACTAATAAAATTTAAAGTTAAGTTTAAGAAGAAATGTATTCACCCACTTTTCTGACTGTATATGTTTGGTCAACATCAGATGACCTTTTCTACAATATTCCAATGTTTCAAGAATTAATAATGTATATAAATGTTTTCTTCATTCATAAGAGCAAATCTTTGATGTTATTCAACTGCTATTTAATGAGTTTTGAGGTCTAAGCATTATTACCAATTAAAGGAAATTGTAATAAATTGATGCTGTATGTCTGCAGGTATTTGTAAAGTGGTTGTGTAATTTTGTTCCGATTTTAGGATGTCATATGTTTTCCGTAAAATATAAATTAACTGGAACTTTAAAGTCAAGGGACTGATTATATCACTGAGATAAAAATTATGCTGATTTGAGATGCCGAATGAGTTAAAAGGTTATGGCACTAGCTACTTTACTTATTTTTAAATTCTTTATATTTCATTTGATGTAAATAAATTTTCAAACAAATTTTCTGCACTCTAAAATTTCATTCAGCCCATTGCTTTCCCTTCTTTATTTTATAGCTGCATGTTCTTGTTATTATAGGTTATGAGGCCTCCTCTAAAAGAACAGTTGATTACCTATTCTTTACTCATCCAAATTACATTTAAATGTGTGTTAAAATAAGTTTTTGTTTGTAGTTGATCCTAATTAGATTACACAGTATGATTCCTACTGTACTTTTCTTTTTTGTTAACTAGGAAATTAAGGGTATATGAAATCCCAAAGCTGACTCAGTTATTAACCTTTGTGTGTCCAACTTCTGAGAAGTTCCTAAATCTTATTTGCATATTGTATTATCTAGGGAACTTTAAAAAAATATCTGTACTGTGAGAGCCAGTAAAACACACTGATTCTCAGAACTTTAAGAGTTAATAAAGGGAAAAACATTGTGATGAGAGAAAGAAACTTTTATGTTTTACTTAAAGGATAGTAAGTTACCAAATTCATCACTGTTTATTAAGATGAAGAAAACTGTCTCATTTGTTATACCCTTTGTGTTACTAAATAAATAAATTAAAATATTCTGATAGCCTCTTTTGTGTCCAAATTTTGTGAATTTATAATACGTACTTAGAATTGTACATATTTCTATGTATACATTTCTAATTCCTAATTAAATGTAATTTTAGGAATTAGAACATTTAATTAGGAATTAGAACATTTCAAGTTTATTACATATTCATTATTTATGTCTCATAACTTACAAAACCAAACATTATTTTAGCCATCTACATACTAAATTATACATGGTAGTAGTTATGCACTATTCAATTTTAATGCATTTATAATGCCTAAATGCTTTAGATATTATTTGGATGGAGGGTTGGGAAAAACCCTCTAGTACCCAGGACTTACCCCTGGTTCTGTGCTCAGGACCCACTCCTGGCAATGCTCAGGAGACAATATGTGATGCTTGATTGAAGCTGGATCAGCTGTGTGCAAGTCAAGTGCCATATCCACTGGTCTAGCTCTCTGGTCCCAGCAGTGGGCTTTTTTTTTCTAAATAAGAGGCCGCTTTTTATTTTCTGAAAGGAGGCCTCATTCCTTTTCTTTTTTCTGCTGAATTTTAGTGGCATCATAAAGAAAACTTAAAGAAATATAGTTTACCCAAAAGCAAAAAAGCGGCTTTCTAAATTACTGCACCAAAAATTAGGCAAGTCAGATTATCACATAAGTCTTTCTGATGTACCAATATACTTTTTAAAAGACACGCACCACTGGTCGAGTGATGTGAGTTCCATCATTGTATGACTGAAACTCAAATATAAAAGCTTTGTAACTGTATATCACGGTGATTCAATAAAAAATAAATAAATAAATAAATAAATGCACCTTTTATTTAACATATAAATTAATATTTATTTCATAAGTTCATATGTAATATTACAACCTTGTAAGTCAGTTGTCATAGACATAGAAGACATACTTTAGAGCAAAATATCTGTTCTAATTTGATGACAATGGGCACATTTATTAATATTTACCTGAATTTACTGATCTTCAAGGTGAAAATGATAGTGGCAGGAAAAATTACAAATTGATATCTGTGTCTGTTTTACGTAGAGAAAGAGTGAGAGTTTTAGAAGCATAACAACTTTCTTTGAGGTATCAAAATTGAATTTATCTTGACTAATACTAGATTGTTATTTCTTTCTCAGGTTCTTACACAACAAGGTTATGATGCTGCTTGTGACATATGGAGTTTGGGAGTCCTTTTTTACACCATGTTGGCAGGGTAAGAAAATATCCCAAAATAATTCATATCACTCCAAAAAATTTCACCTGAATATTTTCATCAACAAAACAATCAAGCACAAATTCCTTTAATTGAAACATTTTAACATTTAACATGCCAAAATAGTATATATTATTTAATTATACATTTTAAACAATGATAAATTAAGTCATTTTATTATTTATAATTAAGTTTTAAACTGAAGCTAAAATATTCAATAATAAAACATTTTTAATTTAGATTTTTTATTGAATAGATCACTTTTAGAAAATGTCTCCTCAAACATAAAGTCATTTCTTCACTCAACTGATATTTGCCCACTGATTTTATCATTAAAAACTGAGTAATTTTTAATATACTAGAATGATGACTTCACTGGCATTGAAATTTAAGAAATTGAGCTTTATAATAGAACATTAAACTACAGAAGGACACATTGCATTTCCTTAAAAGGATAAAGAATTACCAATAATGTGTAACACTGGATTATGTTAATATTAATAATATTTACATTTGAGATTTAATTGTATTATCTGAGTCTAATTATACATGTGCTGCTTGACATGACAACAGCTTTTTAAACATAGATCTTTATTAATTAATGTCACAAGTTCTTTTGGCATGTTGTGTTGACATGCATGAGTTATGTTGACATTGAAACATACAATTTTAACACTAAAATTTAGTGGTAAAGCTAAATTTTACAAATGAACATCTTTTTCTTTTTTTAATTTTATTGAATCACCGTGAGAAAGTTATAAGCTTTCATGTTTGGGTTACAATCACACAATGATCCAATACCCATCCCCCCCACCAGTGCACATTTTTTCTCCACCAATCTGACCAGTATACACCCCTTCCCCACCTTCCCCTGCCTCCATGGCAGACAATATTCCCCGTACTCTCTTTCTACTTTTTGGGCATTGTGGTTTGCAATACAGACACCGAGAGATCATCATATTTGGTCCATTATTTACTTTCGGCACACATCTCCCATCCTGATCATTTCCTCAAGCCATCATTTTCTTAGTGATCCCTTCTCTATTCCACCTGCCTTCTCTTCTCCGCTCATAAGGCAGGCTTCCAGCTGTGGGGCAATCCTCCTAGCCCTTGTATGAACATCATTTTTAAGAACACTCTTGGTTCATTTCCATGACATGGAATTAGTTTATTACTTTCAAATACTTATTTTGTGACTAAACAAAACATAGTGTGTGAGTATGTATGATTGCTTAATTATCTTTACTTCTTATATGGGGGAATTTAGATATTAACATATTAAGTCCTCTCCCTTTATTTCCTTTAACTCATTTCCTTAAACTCTTCTGATTCCCAAATTTGACACTATTTTCTCTTTACTCTATTAAATGATATAAAACTGATTACTTTTGCCACTTCATTATTAACTTTCATATTTTAACAATGCAATGTATATTCTATGATTTTGATTCAGATTATGATTTTTAAATGTTTGAAAGTTTTTTCCTATATTGATATGATTAAGTAAGCCATTTTCCACTAACATTAATTAAAATACTGTTAGTGTTCTTCTGTTGATAGTCCTGAGAAAATGGTAATGAATAAATTTTAAACAGTGCAATGAATATAATAAGAATAAATAATTAAATCTAGCAATTCCACTAGAGTAGGCATATTTAATTTAACTTACATCTGCAGGATACAAAGTTAGTTTTTTTTCTAATTTTTACTATTACTTTACATGTAAAGACGACTTTATTTTATCTTTATTGACAAAAACGATCAAAGCAAAAATAACTATTGGTATTAGCAAGATTCTCTAATGTATTAAATAATTCATTAAGATTAATTTAGTTTTTTATGTATAAAATTGATATTGATAGTAAAAGAATTTCTTGGTATATATTTTGGTGTAGATGGTTTCAAGTCATCTGCTCATCCCATTTCATTAGTTTTGATATGTATTTTTCTGTATATTAATAACAATTTTCTTACTAGCTATACTCCATTTGCTAATGGACCCAATGATACTCCTGAAGAGATTCTGCTACGTATAGGCAATGGAAAGTTTTCATTGAGTGGTGGAAACTGGGACAATATTTCAGATGGAGCAAAGGTATAAACTATAAATACTTTTGTTGCATTCATGCTGAATTGTTGAAATCTTTAAATTATGGCCTACTGAAGAATATCTGATGGTATTATATGTCAGTATTATATCCTCATTAAGCAATTGGACAAATTTGTAATAGTTGAACAAGAGATTTCATACTTTCTGCAATATATCTAGGATAAACTCTTCCCTTATAAGTTTATAGGTATCCATGGAATATATTATAGTTTAACTATTAACCAGAATTAAAAATGTAAATGTATTGAAGGAAAGTACATATTTCAATCCAGATTTAATCAGGCAACATTGTGTCGAGACTGTATCAAGATGGCTGAATAGGGAAAATCTATCCTCCTGTAATCATTGCAAAATCAATACAAATATTTAATTAATCCTGCTCATGGCCCTGTTAAAAAGGGCACTGTTCTAAGAAGCACAATAGTGCTTAATTGTGCAGAAAAGCACAATCACCATCCTGAGAAAAGGAATTCTGTTGTGGCACATTTATTATGCAGCTGTCTAGAAAATAAAATAAACGAGAGTGTGAGTATGCAAGATTAATCAGCGGAAACATGCTTCATGTCTAATGTTCTAAGGTACTAGGAAAAAGAAGAGGGATAAACTGAGCTCCCAGCCTCCCCAAATATGTGCCTCTGTTTTCATATTAACTGAATGAAAGTCAATATGATTCTTGCATCTGAGCAAGCAGTAGTAATATATTTACTGCTTCTGGTAATCTTGCTGGGTTCAAGTATGCTGAGGCGAACTTGGCCCATCCTATGCCAAGAGCAGAGCAAACTGGAAGCTGAGTAACTGTTCATAGTAATAACTGGGTCTCCAAGAATGAAGTTCACAATTACTTGTTTTAATATTAGGGGAAAATAAGCTTAAGACTTTAGATATAAATTACACGGTAACTTCAAGACAAAATACTTAATTGAAACAAACTAGAAGAGGTAAATTGAAGCTTGTCACTTCACAAAAGGTTGATTCCAAAGTAGAGTCACAATAGGGGAAGGCCACAGAGACAAATGTAAATTTCGAAAACACCCAACATTAATGCAGAAAAATTCCTTTAATTATTCCTTCAATATTTTCTCTGAATTATTTCTCTAATCAAAAATCAGAGTGTCTGTATGGATCATAAAATAAAATTCAACTTTCACTATTTACTTACAAGAGACGCAGTTGAACTTCAGTGGTAAACACAGACTCAATGTGAAAACCTGAAAAACAATCATTCAGACAAACAACTGTCTAAAAATTGCAGGTGTGGGCAGGAGCTAAGTTACAGCAGGCAGGACATTTGCCTTCCATGTGGCCAACCCAGCTTTCATCCCTAGCCTTCACATGGTCTCAGGAGCACGACCAGGAGTAATTCCTGAGTGCATCCTGTGCATCACCTGGTATGATCCAAAAAGTCAAAATAAATAATTAAAAATCATGTGGGAACTATATTTGCATCAGATAAAATGAACTTTAAACTACCAAAAAACCAAAAAATAAACTACAATACAAAAAAAGGTACAGAGGTATACTTTATGTCATAATTCAGGTATCTATATTAATAGCATATACCAAATTAATAGTCTTAAAGTAATTACTTAAGAGATATTAAGAAAGGCACCAACAATAGTAACAGTAGACTTTAATACTTTCTTTCATTATTGAACCAATTACCCAGATAAAATAGAGAAGCAGTAACCATATATGACTTAAAAGACTATGTCTTATACATATGTCTAATAAATATAGACATAGAAATATCCACTAAAGAACAAATACACATTCTTCAATACACCTGGATATTATCCAGGATATGTATGCTGGAGCAAGTGTGTATAAAGTCATGGAGATAGAATCAGATCAAGTATTTTATTAAATCAAAATGCTACTATAGTACAAATTAGCCTAAATAGAAAGCTAAGAAAAATTCAAGAATATGGAGACTAAACAACATAGTACTGAGTTAATGATTGTGTCTGAAAGAAAATCAACAAAAAGATCAATGATTTCTGGGATTGAATGAGAATAAAGACACAAATATTGTAATTTCTGGAACACAGCAAAAGCGGTAAAACGAGGTAAATACATAATAATACAAACATATATGAGATAATAAGACAAAAATAAATTAACTTCACAAAAGTACTTGAAGAATAACAAGTGAAATCCATAGGCAGTAGGAGTTAAACAATAAAAATATGCAGAAAACAAATAGAAATAAAATTTGTGAAATATAAAGAAACTAGATGATGCAGAAAAGTGGTAACTGGTAGGCAGATTGGTGCTGGAACATTGTGTTTTTAAAACCCAACTATGAATTACTTTGTAAGTCATGGTGCTTTAATAAAGCAAGTTTTAAAACATGAAGTGACTCTCATAAAAAAAATAAGCAATATTGGAAAACAACCTAAAAAACTAAAAATAATGAAGAACTAATAAATCACATGAAACATGACAAGAGAAAAGTTACAATAGATAAGTAAAACTAAGCTCATTATTATGAACTTTATGCCACTATGTTGGAAAATCTAGAAAAAAAATTAAGGTTTTGAATTGTATAACCTCGTAAGGCTTAGTCATGATGAAATGGAAAAAAAACATGAACATATAAGTTCCTAGGACAGAAACTGAACAGTAATGAATGGTCTCCCCAAAACAAAATCCCGGAAAACTGAAGAAACAGCAATTCATCCAACAGTTTCTATGAGATCGTTATCCTGAGACCGGAAGAAGAGATCATCATTAAAAGAATGGTAATATACCAATAGATTTAATGTAGACACAAAGTCTTTAACAAAATGTGTTACAAAAATTTTAACTGAGCTTAACAGTATCTAAAAAATATTAAACACCACGATCAAGTCAGATTCATTAAATAATGTAAGAATAGTTAATATATTCAGACCAGTTAATGCCATAAAACACATCAAGCAAAAGGAAAGGCAAAATATCACATAATCTTGTATGTAGAGAAAGGCTCTAACAATAGTAAGCTCCCATTTATTATTAAAAATACAACAAGTGGGAGTGGAGTGACCTTTACCTCAGAATAGTAAAGGCCACATAAAAAAACTCACCTGGACTTAATTAATACTCAGTGGCAATAGCAAAATGAATAAGCAAGATAAATTATGAAGCCTTTTCTCAAGTATCAGCACAAGGCAAGCATATCCTCATATACATAATATTATTGGAAATTCTTTTCAAATTGATGGACAGTCTTTTATTTACAGTAGTGATAATGATGGTGTACCACGCAAGTAATTCCCACTCACATCCATTACCAGTGTATCTACCTCCCTCCCTCCCTCAAGGATTCCAAAGCCTCCTCCATTCAAAACCCACCACCTACCACCAGCACTACTCAACTTTGTGGAACATTTCTCATGTTCTGCTAGCTTTTGCCATTTGTTGCTACCATGCTGTATATTTTCACATCCCAAATATGACAGTGATCATTCTGTATTTATTTATTTCTGGAAATAGCCATAGTTAGAAGGGGTGTGGTAAGAAAAGAACCTTTATCCACTGTTGGTGGGAGTGTCATCTGGTTCAGCCTCTGTGGAAAAGTATATGAACTCTATCCAACAAATATGAATAGAAACACCATATAACAAGTGACACCACTTTTTGGCATCTCACCCTAATTCACAAAATGTTATTACAAGTTAATTCATTGAAATTAGAGAAAAATATTGAATGGTTGCAGATAAAAACAGACATAAACACTGGAGCATACGTATGTATTTATATAATGTAGCACTGTAGCACTGCCCTCCTTTTGTTTATCGATTTGCTCGAGCAGGCACCAGTAATGTCTCCATTGTGAGACTTGTTGTTACTGTTTTTGGCATATCGAATATACCACGGGGAGCTTGCCAGGCTCTGCTGTGAGGGCAGGATACTCTCAGTAGCTTGCCAGGCTCTCCAAGAGGGACTGAGGAGTCGTACCTGGGTTGGCTGAATCTAAGGCCCTACCCACTGTGCTATCGCTCCAGCCCTTTTATATAATGTAGATAACATATTGCATATGTACTTGTTAGTAACACTAAAAAGTGTACATAACGTTAGCAGATATTTACCTTTGTACTACTATAGCATGTTACCAAATAAATACGCAATATATTAATTTCTACATGCAATTATGTAAAGACAAACATAGAACTCATATTTATAGTAACATCCGTTAAATTGTGTATTCAGGAATAAACTTTAAAATGTAGGCCAGTGACTTTTACATCAAAACCTTTAAGTCACTATGAAAAAATATAGAAGACACAGGAAATGGAAATCTATCCCATCTGCAAACTCTGGAATAATTCTTGTTAAAATGATCATCTCATCCTAAAACATATGGATTCAGTAAAATAGTATCAAAATTCCAGTGTCTTTGCACAGGAACATATTACTAATACTGTAAAAATTATTATGTAATCATCAAACTACGCAAGTAACAAAAAAAGTCTTGAAAGTAAAAAGTAGGCATCATCATATTCTTTGGCTTTAAGCAATAATACAAAGAAATAAGTAATCAGAACACCGTGGAATTGAAAGAAAAAGACTCTCAGATAAATAAGATAATAGTTAAAGCAGAAAAATAAACCCTCAAATAAGTGAACAGCCAATATATGACAAAGCAGCAGGAATGCCATCTGCACTTCTATGTTCATTGCAGCACTATTCACAATAGCCAGAACCTGGAAACAACCCAAGTGCCCAAGAATAGATGAGTGGATAAAGAAACAATGCTACATCTACACAATGGAATATTATGCAGCCTTCAGGAAATGAAGTCATGAAATTTGCATATAAATGTATAGGCATGGGGGTATCATGCTGAGTGAAATGAGACGGTGGTAGGGACAGACAATAATGATTGTATTCATTTGTGAAATATAAATAACATAGAATGGGACTAATACACTAGGGCAGTAGAAATGAGGGCCAGAAGGACTGGTCCATTGTCTGAAGCTTTACAGTTGCTTCTCATCTCTCTC